ATTCCGTGGTAAGCTTCTAAAAGTTATTTATCAATAGAAGTCACAAATGCTAAAGTTCGCTTATTTGATTGTTATTGTTAGGCACCGCTATTGCACAAATGAGCAAATGCAATATTTGCATGTTTGCAATCACGAAAATAAATCCAATCCTACGAATTTTTCTTATACAAATGATTTGATAGATGTTTACAGCGAATAGTGCGCCAACGGAATAGAATAACGAATGAACTGAATCAATCAAGCGAATTAATAGAATTTAAACGATGAATGTGCTTGTGGGGTATTGGGCAAGATAATGTTGCCTGTATTGTTCAAATGTATCAACCGATTGCCTATAGTTGGCGAAGGGAATATTCAGAAACGTCGAGATCAGCACCAGTCTAACTAGATGTTCTTCGGTAGTGCTTGCTAGTATTTGACATAATTGAAAATATCAGATCGTTCCGAATATATCAGGTTAATTGAAGTTCGTTTTTTGATACATACTCACTTCGACAGTCTCTTAAGGAATTGAAATGATGCACTTACTGTCCGGTGAGAGTGCCACGTAGAATTCGACAGTGTCGCCGAATTTTGCGGCTCTCAACGGTCGTCCATCAACACTTCGAAATATCATCTCGACTTTTGGTTTCGGTTTACCACCAGTTGATGCGACGACTTCATGTCCACTGGGCATGTCAAATGTTCATGATTAGTTTAGAACAGGGAAATGGATTAATTATGCAATAATCGTGATTGTTCAATTGCATAGGAACAAATTATGATTTATTGATAATGTTTCCGAACTGAGGAGCAATACTAGGTTCCAATTTAGCTGGCATTTATCTGCATCATATCATGAAAGCATGTTGATCTTTGTATTACTCACAATAGCAGGCGCTATGTACGGAGAATTTGATCCACAGTACAGAGCGAGCGATATAGATGAGTATGCAGTGGAAGCGTGAAAAATTTCAAAATCAAAAGGGTAAACAACAAGCTAATGCTCTTGAAAACAACAAGAATGAATTATGGAGCTACTGAAAAGAATGAGAATTCCCTTTGGAATAAGCAGAACATGAACGAACAGCAGAAAAACAATTTTGATAAGTTCCATAATGCCAACAAATCAGCGGACATCTCAATCGCACCACAAATTTTGCATAAATATCTGAGAAATGTTGAAACATCAAATGAAGTTTCGCAACTCACGTCGATATATCGTTGAATCGTATCGTCTGAACGCTTCTCGTATACAGACAGAACACATGATTGACACGAAGCACTTTCGATGCACTATGATCCGTGTTATCTTCAAGTGCGATTGTTGTCTCAGCATTCTGATAGTTTGGCTCCTGGAACATATCGCTAAATATCTTTGAGAACACCAACAAAATCTCTCAATATTCATCCTCCTTAAGATAAATTGCTCACTTCAGAAAGAATGGAACAATCACGATTTGAATAGGATTTCATAAGAAGCTAAACAAACCAAGTCAGTTAGGAGAACACCACAGAGTCGTCCATAAGGTATTGTGAAATTGTACTTGACCATATTACCATTTTTGAGTGCACTTCCGCACGGAGTTCTGGTTTTATGATCGTAGACATAGACGACTGGTTGGGATTTGGGATTAGCCATCCAACGTTGAATATCCGGATCGGTTTTGTTCAACACCACAGTGATAGCGTCGGCAGAACATGACACTTCTTCAACTACAAATATCCAAACGGATCCTTAGTAAATGTCCATTTCAATGCACATGATCGCACTTGTTAGTCACATTAGTCACTTCAATGCACTTAATGCGATGTATGAAAGCAACTTACCAAAACCGTCAGCTTGTACTTGATCTCCAACGAAAATCAGCATCAAAATCAACGATATTCGGCTCATTATAATACCGGAAATGAACATTTTTATATCTGAAATCTTCCAACTATATAAGGGAACAACAGAAGTGGAACATGATTTCATAATATGATCTTAGCAGAGAACAAATAGAGTTTAAATTGAGCAGATAACGATCAACTGGGCCGAGGATGTCAAACTCATTTTCAACCTAACAGAGAAATAGTAAC